CAGAGGGGCAGGACACACTACGCAGAAGTTTGTCGAATATCAGGAACCTTTACCTTACAATTGAGAAGAGAACACAAGGAAATCAATTTGGCTTACACCAAAAACGATGTTGGATATTGGAAGTAATTATACAACGACAGTCAGCCATTAACTCAAGATGGTCACAGCAATAGCGGCCGTGGCGAACTCTTTTGCTGTATTTCAGAAGACCAGAGCAGAATGATCAGATGTTATTTATGGTGGTATTGCGGATTTCGGCTGTGGGCTAAAAACTTTTATTGGTCTAACGGATTTTAGCTAGACTGCCTCATTTACCACCAATAAATCCTATAGCAACCATAACAGAAGCCGGATAGATGGCATGAGAATGAGTTAAACCATTCTCATAGCTTGCTTATATAATAATAATTTATATTTTCATATAATCACATAAATTTGCATGAAAATGCATGCCATTTTTACAGGCGCGATCAAGTATTGTATAATGTCAAGTCATAGATTGTCTACAAGTTAACAACGTTTCGACAGTTAAATATTTGATATATATATATAATTGCACTCATTGTCTGAATCAGGCCGTATAGTTATTGAATTGTACAGTTGTTCTCCAGGTTGCGCGGTAAAATTGACTTTGTTTCGTTTTCATCCCGTGGTTGTAGGAATACAATAACCAACCAATATCGAGGTAAGTACAATGTTTACAAGGGATTGAAAGCTGTTTTAGAAAAGTTAAAGTGCTAAGGTGAATAATTAAAGTGTAATAAATTAAGTAAGTGCAATATATCATTATTAAATGCATTTATGTAGAAAACAGAATGGGGAAGTAATTAATCCTTAGGCCGACAACGTTCATTTGCAATGTATAATAGAACCAATATATTTTGTACTGTCATGATGTCAACTTTTGGCTTTAATACAATTATTTTCAAGCCAGTTGTTTTTATTTCATGGCTTCTTGTCTATTTGGCGCACCACCGTACCTCACAGAGAATAGGAATAGAAGAAGTCGAATCAAATTCATAAAGAGCTATAAAATGTTAGGTTTAATGGAGTATAATGAGGATCAAGTAAAGATGTTATCAGAAAATGAACGAGATAAGACATTGTGAAGTGGTATTTAAAGATCTGACAATGGATAGCAAGTTAATTTATATGATGCCCAATAAATCTGCACAGAGCCCACGTGGTCGCATCTCAACAATAGGCTGAGCGAATGGTATATAACCGTGGATAGTACTCAAAATCCTTGTTAAACGAATAGAAGCCATTGGGAAAACAAAATGGCCGGCAGCGAGAAAGATTTAATTGAATTGGATGGTTGCTGACTTCGTTTTTACAAGCCGAATTCATAATGGCGTTGCTATGCATGCTACCCTTGTTTATATTGAAGCGTTTCACAAGTCTTTTGTGCGATATGGGTTCTATTGGGATTGTCTATGCAGCGCATAAGTGACTGATGCCGTCACTGATCGGAGAAACTTTGCTTACTCAAACAATGATGTGTGCCACCAATGCAAATGATCCGTTGAGGGAGAAGCCCCTGAGGTGGCTGCACCACAGTATAATATTGCATGATGATCTCGTCTCACAAGAGGCAAGAATCGGTGTAATCAGTTCTCATAAGAACCACAGTGTGAATCCCCAGTAAGTGGGTGAGTCACTGTGTGAATAGCTGACTGATGCTGCCAATAGTCGTATGCTTGTCTAAGTTCATACCTTAAAACGGTGAAACATCGAATGGCTACGGTTCCTTCGATCGCATATACTTCATGGGTAACTGTAGTAATAATGGAGCTAGCAAGCGCAGTATTGCCCTAACCCGAAGAGTAACAGATTTATTTATGAGAACAGAATAATGAAGGGGAAGTTTCAACTTTCTCCACTTAACTGTTATGACTCTGGATAACTTAAACATCCACAAGCAGACTGATAGTATACCTGACTTTCGATCACTGCACTAATTACCTTTGAAATCCAACTGGTTGTTCATTGTTTTAATTTGCCAATGTAATTGGTGACTCTCAGCGTCATTTAAAGCATTTTTATACACAAGCACTGTCAATCATTTTCATTATTGATAAGAGACAGTAGAAGTCCTCAACGTCAACAGTCAGTCTTCTCTTCGTTTCTTCTTGCATCGCATTTTCGGTGGTATCATACCACGTTGTTGTTGCTAATAGTGGTTAGAACAATAGGCTCCCAAATAAACTAGATAGGAAACTAGTTAGCGCAACTACTGAGTGCATTAATGGTCACAAATAAGAATATATTATTATCAGAAGTATTATTGGGAATAATGCTGATGTCAATGCAGTTGAAGATTGAACGATCAATTCACGGTTGTTTGCTCAAAACCAACTTCCCCAATTTTCGCGGAGGCATCAATACGACAGTCATCGTCTCATCGGTCGCTGTTCAAAAAGAAGTCAGTAGTAAACCATAAGAAGTAATTGTAATATTTGTTCACAGACCTTAGTGGAAACATTTTTTATATGTTGGTGTTACAATAAAGAATTCTCGAGCGGCCAATCGGTGTTTTGGTTTTGCGTCCGTTATTACTAAGCGTTTCTGAAAAACTTCAAGGAACAGCGTGAGCCCGAGCGTAGCAAGAGCTGGGCATTAACGGTTTACGAGACGTGGCTGACAGCTGATGTTTATCCGTAGACGTTTTGCTGTAGTAACCTTTTAGTGATGATTTATTGTCAGTTAGGCAGTAAGCCATTGTTGAATTACCAACCTCTCTTTCTTCACTCTTCAGTTTGTTACTGTACGTGGTTCTCTGACTTTTGTGTTCAGCCTTCTGGCATCAGAATCAGGATCTGTGGATTCAGTATCTTGTAATTTATCTATACCTAACAGTAAAGAAATTAACTCTGGTTCTTTATTTGTAGGTGATAACATTAGCCCACCCGACAGATTAGTCACTTCGAGGATGATTTTATCAAAGTGCCCCTTTGTTGAATCTACACTTAGTCTGTGAACCAGAAAACTAGATATGCATTGCCATTTTAACCGTGTACTTAGTGGTAAATAAGAGAAAAGCTGAAGTTCAAAGGTTTTGTTGGAATAGCTTTACCTGAATGCACGTGAAAAGCAGTTAAAAAATTGAGTGAAACGAACTACAAATAAGGTTTAAGTTTCACATAGTGCCTCAATATAATAACTTTGTGTTCCTTGATTTCTATTAATGTTAACACTGAAGCTCAAGCCCGACGAATTTGCATAAACTTTGCGTTACAACTGACGCTAAGAAAACGTTTAAATAAAAATTGTTGCTTCGGCATGGTTGATAGGGAGGGGTAACTAAAAGGGTTATTATAAGTGTATATCTATCAAAGACTTGTGACTTATTTTGGCACTGTTCTAAAGCCTTCACATTTAAACTCGTCGCACATTCAGTTTGCTTGTTATAACGAGGTATCCTTTAACTAAGAATGAAGCAGATTCTGAAAAGCAGAAATGCGCTACCATTATAGGTGGAATTTTCAAACGAGACCTCAGTCATTTTTCTGGACCTATAAACTTGACGAAAGACATGTCCAGTGGAAATAAGACTACTACATGAGCGCACTGCTGTTAATTATGCTTCCTGTAAAATTGATGAGCTTATCATTTTGGTTACTGCATCTCATGGCCACTTTTGGTAGAAAAGTTTTATATAAAGCTTTTTGCGTCATTTTCCTGTTGTAATCAGAAGTACCTGCTAAGTGTTTCAGTGTAGCCCAAGTTTCACAAATAACTTATAGATTCCTCATTGCACATTTCGACTGGCTTAACTTCGGTAACTTATTCTTCTTTGTATTTACTGAGCTAAGATTTTTAGTGAGGAAAGCACAAATCAGAGTGTTAATGTGTCAAATCAATGCTTCACACATGTAAACCTTCTATTACTTCTGATGCATTGATGGCTTGAAAAGGCTTATCTGTACAACCTGAAATATCCTGGTCAATATCTTCCCACATGAAGGCGTGAACAACCATATTCGAATGCCTTCCATGAAAAGGATTGTCGTTAATTCTGGAGAGAGTGATACCAGGGAAACAAAGTCTTTTCTAGTTATCCTTTTGAAACGTTTATTTTCTAGCTGAACCGCTGTGCAGAAACTTATAGGAAGTACCTAAGGCCGAGTTGCATTTTTGGAGAAACCAAATGTATGACGGTTGATAATATACGTGAAGCAATCTGACCAGCCACTGGTTTCCGAATGTTTAAAACATGCACGACCCAGACTCCAGGCTAGTACTAACACTACCACTTGACATATATCCCTAAGCAGATAGTGATATACACAAGTATTTCGTAAGGTAACAGAATTTTAGGCTTAGTTTTAAGCATTTGTGAAATTATATTTGCACAGTCTCACCGAAATTAAAATGAGCAATCCCAGTGTTTCGTTCAAAAAAAACAGTGCGACTGTCTTCAGGGAAATGTATGGGGGTTAAAATGACAGAGGTTCACGAGTGTTTACTTCTCAGTCGGCACCTAGTTATTTTGGAACTATTATGTCAAAATCGGGTCACAGTTCATACGAATTAGTGTTAAGCATTTAATGCCATGATGATAAAGCTCCCGTACTAGAAAAATAATGCATAAAGGGAAGGAAATATTTCAATCACTGACGGCTGGAACACTTAAACTGGATACAGTGGAAACAGGAGAAAAATCAAAATTTGGGTTTCAGTTTAGACTGTATTCTTCGCTAGGGACTTTGTAAATATGCCTCACAAGTGGAGTCAGGTTAGACGCCTGTTTTCTGAAACTAAACCTAGCAGTTTAGTTAGCTGAGTGTTGCTAAGTATCGTCAACACCTTTGAAATGTTAGTGCATTGGATTTAAGTGACCAGTTAAATCCGATAATGATTAATTAGGATGATGTGGCTCACTCTGCTTTCATGACCTAAAGTCTTTTCAAACCAATAAAAGTGCACTCTGCAAGAGCTCATGGAACTTTTATTAGTGTTTTTTGAAGGTACCAAAAGGTTTGGTAGCGCTTTTGTTTAAGTGCATCGCCGCTCAATCATTTTGTACACACAGCCAATTTCGAACCAATTTGCTTTTTGACAGTTTCTCGCGTTCATAATGCTACTTTTTTTACTTACATTTTCACATCTTGTGTTTCTTCCACCCCACATCATAGCGGAAAATGCACCAATTTATTCTTATGAAAATGGTCTATTATTAACGTTACATTCACATGACCTGAAGATTCAGAAGCCTTTTATTGATATAGCCCGTTCTATTCAAAACACGTTTGTTGGCATTAAACCTACTCTCGACCCTCAGCAGCTTGAGGCGCACCTAGTGATCAATAATTCTGCGTGTGTTAGAGATATCGTTTCTGTAATATATGGTATTTTCCGACTGAATGAAGAATCCATAAAATGTTAGTTCACGATTTGGATTAATTTTATTTGTAAAGGGTTGGATGCTGCTGGAAAAATTGTGCCTGGCATAGAGGCTGGTGGTATTAACTGGATCGGAAGCATGGAATTATGTCAAAATATTACTGATTTCAATTACGCATTGTCACATCACGTTAAAGGAAAATATTGCTCAGCATTTGTCAAACTTCCTACTGATGAGCTTCTTCCTCAAAAAGTGGTAGGTGAATTTTGACTTTTGTTCACACAACAGACAATAGAATTGAACTATGGAATGTGTATTCCCACCTCATGTACCAAAGATGATTTAGTTGTGTTACTCGATATAGGTTTGTTGAATTTAAACAATAAATGTACCTAGTTTTGTCTAGAGTAAACTTATCCCTAGATAACTCCACAACATTTTGTCATGAAGAATTTGGATCAGTTCCCAAAGACGGTTGGTTTTGGATTTCAATGTGAGTTGGTGCTTTTATTTCGCATTGAATTTCCCAACATTTCATTGCACCTGGTGTAAAGTTAATATTGATAAAACATTTTTATGTCCTCAGTTATGATTTTATGCTTTTAAGTATTTTGTTGAACAAGATGTCTGTTGGTTTTGCCGTATGCTTATATGTATGGGGAATTAGCAAACTATGTTTCAGTATAGTCACATTAATATAACCCACTTGACTTTTGCATGCAAGAACACCATTTGTTGGTGATGGTCACAAGTTTAGTTGAAGTCGTGCTTATCAGCTATGGTGGGCAGGTAACATTCTGGAGTTTTATGACTGAACCTGTCATTTGTGGAATTGAAATGACCAGTAGTATGTCTAATAACAGGTTAATAAGATATTGGGAACACTTCACTTTAAATATAATAAATTACTTGAAAGAAAATAAATATATTTGATACACATAAACAGCTCTATTATATGAACTCATACTCAACATTTCGAGACTAAATTTTAAGTAAAGTAAGTAGAGTGGGTGCCTTGATCAGTGAAATGTATTTTCTCGTCATTCCCTTTACAGATAAGCATCGCCAGAGAACCTCTCGGTCGACAGAATCGAATTCCCCCGTGAGGTCAAGGAATATAATGACTGTTGGACGCCGGTAGGAATGCCTATGTTCTAGAATCTGTCGGAGGATGAAGATACGATCAATATACCCACTTTCTGGTCTAGAGCCTGCCTAGTTCTCTCGTGTTTATGCCTCCCTAGCACCACTTAGTCTACGCATGATTATTGAGCCTAGGACTTTAGATACTATATTAGTCAAGCTAATCCCTCTGTGATTATCACAGGAAGATTTGTCTCCCTTCGTGTATATGGGATAATCAGTGACATACACCAACCCGATGGGACTTCCTGTGATTCCCAGACGCTTCCTAATACTACAGTTAATGCAGACAGTAAACTGTCTCCACCGTACTTAAATACCTCTGGAGTCATTCCATCAGGTCCCGCTGCTTTTCCTTGTTTCAGATTGGTGACAGCTTTAGTAACCTCAGTTAGGGACGGAGGACCTGTGTCTATATCCCATTCAGGGAGGTGTTGGATGTTCGGCAGGTTGAGCGTCTGTCTGTCTGTCTGTTTTCGACATAGAACTTTGCACAAATGTGCGGAAGTTCAAGTCGCCACATTCCGTGTAGCACGCGAAGCAAGAGAAGAAAGTACAAGAAAAGCATAATAGAAACAGTGAGCAGAGGTGTGAGACAAAGGAGTAATAAAGAAATACAAAACAGTTTCATTGGAGATCATAAGTCACAGGGAGTGGATGCATCTGCGCCACTGAGAACGGTTTTGAGCCATGTCACCAATTGTTTCCAACCATAGATTTTTACCGTCCCGAGGACCCCAGCCTGGAAGTCTACACCTTTCTACGTGGCTTAGACCAACTGTTGTGGATTCCAAGTTTTTGTTTGACCGCCGCTAGCTTTTTTCCAGCCTGACCCTATATCCGTGGCTGCGGGTCAGTTAAACTGCTCTTCATAGTGCTCTTTCCAGCGATCTAGTCGTCTATCCTGGGAGCTAATTATGGTGCCACTTTTCTCCGAGATTGTTTCACTTAGGATTGGCCTTCTCCCACCCGTTTCCCTGATGAGTGTAAAGAGTTGTGTAGTGTTGCCTATCTCCGATGCTTTTTCCATCCCTTTCGCCTTTGTCACCCATCACTGTTCACGGTCCTCGCGGAGACTTTTCGTAAGTTTAAGCCAGTCACGTAGGAAAGTGTAGACTTCCTGGCCTGTTCGGATACTCGGGACAGTAAACACAAATGGAGGCTGAATACAGTAGGTGATATGCCTCGAATTGATCGTTCTCAATTGCTGGCGCAGATGCATCCACTCCTTGTGACTTATGATTTCCAATGAAACTGTTTTGTTCTTCGTTATTACGATTCCTTTGTCTCACACCTCTGTTTACTGTCTCTATTATGCATTTCTTCTGCTTTCTTCTCTTGCTTTGTGTGCTATGAGGAGTGGAGTGTGGCGACTTGATCTGCCGAACAAATGTGCAAAGTTCTATGTCGAAAACAGACAGACATCAAACTAAATACCTAATATTAGTATCAGTTATTCGTTATATATATATAGTTCATCAGAAGCCTAATTTGCCTCTGTTTAGATCTATATTAATAATAGTAATCGTTCTCCTACTGATCGGAACAACAATCGATTTGATTATATGGAGTATGTGGAAATATCAAGCGCATACAATTCTCTACAATAGACTAGTTGACTCAGTCAACTCTTCAGAATCACTGGCTAGTTCAAATGAATCTGTGATTGTTTCTGGAGAAAATATACAAGAGGAGAATACAACTGGAGAGAGTGATGTTGTCTGCCCAGAATTGAATAGCTTATCCTATTCAAAATATCGATTTAGTAAGTAAACTAAAAGTTTTACCGTACAGTTATTGTTTTTCCTGTCATATCGTTTTGATGCTTGAGATTGTGTCAATTTTTGCTTCCTAATAGTGATTAATGCCTAACAATTTCATATGGACCGGCTTTGCTTTAAGGTTAAAATCCATGGTAGACTTTTATGCAATTACAAGATTTCGTGATGTCAAGCCATTCACCTCTGTGTTGATTTGTTGATTATTGCCAACAAGAACTGAAGAGGTATATATGTATATATATATATATATATTCTTTGTTAACTTATTTGAATACCCTATCGATAAAAATGAAGCCGACAGTTTTCAAAATACATTCGGTCTTAATATATGTGTAAAACTTGGGCACTGTTGTAGTAAGTAATTCCATATTAGTTTGTAAAGTGTGTAAAGTTCTATGTCGAAAACAGACAGACAGACAGATATTAGTTTGTATATTAGATGTATCACACAGTCAGTGAAACAGTATTATTATTTACTGGATGACACAGCTTCGAACAAATTTTATTGTTCATTATCACATCATCGATTATAATCACACGACTTCGAAACTTGAGTTTTATAGTTTTCTTTGTTCTATCCTGTTAGTCGTCGTAGGGGTAGTAGAATTTTCCAGATGTCCGCCTGGACAGGTGTTGAATCATTCCTATTACATGTATTTTCAGTTGATTCGATAAACAAAGTCTTAGTCAGTTATCAATCTCTCCCTCCACCCAGGTGTGACATTAGATTTTGAAACTGTTATCTTATCCCATCCATACGATTGTATGGTTGTGTGTAACTGCATGTGGTGAGTGCTATATACGGCTGAACTATTCTCCAGATTTCTTATTTGGGTCAACCAACCTTGATTTTTTTCAGTGAACGAAATATTGCCATATTGAGTCATAAGAAAAAGGCATAAACTTCTGTCTCCTTTCTTACTTACAATTAGTCATCCCTTCTAGGTTACACCTTACATTGTGTAACAAAAATGTTTCAAGGACAAAGTTTACTAGTATCTGATTGTTCTAAAGATTTCTTTGTTAATTATAATTACGACTGTACAGCTCATGAAAATGAATCGTCGAAAAGAAAAATTTCTTCGCTGTTTGTGCCTTTTTCTTAAGACTCAATCTAGATTTTGCTCGGTTTTTATGTTCTGCTAGTCTGACTGCCCCTGTTCTACTAGTTTGAACTATGTATTTGACCTGACAGTCATTGCAGCACCGTATTAGATAAACTAAGTTGTTTTGTTTTAAAGGCTTCACAGGATTGATCCTTTAACCGACAAAGCTTGTTTCTAATTGGGTTTATGGTTGGTTTGAATTCCAGCCACTTTCAGTCCTGCCAGGATTGTTAATAATTCTGTGTAGGGCTTCCGAGGTTCCTTCCTTGTATGGAATTACTGCTGATGATTTGGATTCCTTATTGTTGGTGTTGTCATTATCTTGCGCATGTTTGATATGCATGTAGTCATTAATATTACTATTATTATCATCACTGTCACTACTATCATTTATTTTATTTTCACATTTCCCTACATTCTTTCCGACTAATTTATCAGGGTAATTATTAAGTTTCAAAGCTTCTCCTATATGCTTCACTTAATATCTTCGATTTTCCTTGGTACTATTTAGTTTTTATGCTCCGTCACTTAAACATTTCACCAATCCTATTTTTACTGACATAGGATGGGATGATTGGAAGTCCAAATATCTGTTTGAATATGTGGGTTTCCTGTGAACACTAGTGTGTGTTTAACTCCCCATCTTCTTTCCTTCTTATGCTACATACAGTCTAACATTGGAAGCTCCTCTTCCTGACTTTCCTGTTCATAAATGAATTGAATTGCCTCCCTCTTTGAGCTAATGTGTTAGAAACATCCGTCTATATCCTGTGTTCTAAGAACAGTGAATGTCTCATGTAGATATCTCCACCATACTTTTGGAGTGGGGCTGAACATTTCAATCGTCAAGTTTTCCCATCTATCTAGAGAAATCTGGAGAATAGTTCAGCCGTATATAGCACTCACCACATGCAGTTACACACAACCATACAATCGTATGGATGGGATAAGATAACAGTTTCAAAATCTAATGTCACACCTGGGTGGAGGGAGAGATTGATAACTGACTAAGACTTTGTTTATCGAATCAACTGAAAATACATGTAATAGGAATGATTCAACACCTGTCCAGGCGGACATCTGGAAAATTCTACTACCCCTACGACGACTAACAGGATAGAACAAAGAAAACTATAAAACTCAAGTTTCGAAGTCGTGTGATTATAATCGATGATGTGATAATGAACAATAAAATTTGTTCGAAGCTGTGTCATCCAGTAAATAATAATACTGTTTCACTGACTGTGTGATACATCTAATATACAAATTTATATGCAATTACATTCCGTCTTAGTTTAGATTTATTTTTCGCCAAATCTAAACATTAAAATATTAGTCATAAACAGTTGGAGTCGGAAATTGTTTTCAAAATGTTGCTTAACAGGTAGGTAAGCTGTCCGCATTAGTCTTTGATTACATGAAGTTGATAGGTTTATATTTACAAGCATCATTATATTTATAAACATGAATTCTCTTCAATTTCAATTCATATTTAGTTAAGTAGCGTCCACGAAAGTCTGACTGGCTAAGTACTTCTAACTGTTTTACCTCCGCCTCCCCTCTGTTATTTTTTTATTTTATTCTTTCGTGTTCCATGTGGAACACAGACCTTCAAGCCTGAGCTCTGAAGTTTCGGTACCAGCCGTGGCTTCACGCTTGCAGGGTTATATCGCCGGCCAAGTGAGGTTTGCGGGAGTGTCGACCTAGGATCGAACTTCTCACCACGTGAGTGGTTGGTGAACAACATTCTACCAGTGCACCACAGAAGCATCGACTGTTCTGGCCTCTCATAATAATAATAATAATATATCATTTCTTATTCCTTCGTTCCGCTTCATAGAAATCCTGTCAAATATGAATTATGGCATTAAATTTCTTGCACTCTACTCTATTCCGTATAATGGATGGCATTTATTTCAGTTGAAACCAAGCACAATAGTGAATAAATCAGGTCAACTGTGTGAAAATCCTCTACTTTGTTTGGATGGTATTCGAGTTTTGACAATGATTTGGATAATATATGGTCATTGTATAGTATATTCTATAGTCGGTTCGAGTAAGTTACAAATTTGTTTCACTCTTGGGAAAATAGATTTAGCAATATACTTTTTTTCTTATTATTTCAATCAGAACATCTTATAAAATTTAGGATAGAGAATGGAAAAACCGATGTTTGTCATATTCTGCACAAGAACTGCTTCTATACAGGTAGTGCCATGTATTGTCTCCCAGTGCTATCGAGTTTAGGTGTGGGGAGCAGTAGTTTTAAAAACTGAAAACTGTTCTGCCCATCTGTTTGGTCACTTTTCTAGTTATTCAAATATCATTAATACATTTTTCCCAGTAACGTTTTGCTATTTTCGCTTGCTGGTCATAGGTGTTGTGATACTAACACCAGTTAGGGTTTTTTAAGTGAACGTGGCTTGGATTTAGACTGACCACGTGAGTTTCGCCGTTGGTAGGAGAAATTACACGGCATGTTTGACCTAAGCATCTGCTAGATGGAGTTGCATAACCCTATCACTGCAGTGTCCCTACTGGAAGTCTGTTTGGCAACTGAGCATATTTCAGTAACTGGCCGTTTAGTTATTTCTAGAATTTTATCTGTGGAAACAGCTGTCATCTGTAATAACATCCTGAAGAGACACCAGTACATCCTGTGCTGACTGTGGCAGTTTGGATAAGAAAAGTTCTCTGGAAAGTCCTTCCTCAAAATGACGTTGGTCAATAACTTCCTTCATTCTTGTTAGCATGGACTCGTCTGACTTATCACCTAACTTGATGTTGCGAAATGGTTCGCCCAGACGCTGTCCAACCATGACAACGTTTCTCCTCAGGAGGGTTGCTTTAGGCAACTCGCGCGAGTTACTTACTTCTGGGATCGACCTCTGCACAGTTACACATTTGCTGAATTCCTGCGGTAGGGTGTGAACAACTGCAAGGAACTGTGAAGGTTGATCAGTTAACCCATGCTCGCTAAATTCAAACTTAGCTATCTGAAACCATGATTCAGCGTTATCTGGCCAAAATGGTACTAAGTGAATAGTTTTGGAAGTTAAGTGAATACGGATGACCTCAGGAGTATGATCACTCTTGACGAAATATGTATACTTTGAAAATAGTACAAGAACAAATACAAAATGGAACAAACTCACTGGATTTGTCTATGTATTTACCGGTAGCGCTCACCAGTTTAGAGACTGAAGGTGTTGACGTTCACGGATAGTAAGAAGTATACTAACGCAAGATCCAATACCCACAAATTCTATAGTATTCGTTCCGCGTAGATCAAAGGCAAAACAAAACACCAGAATTGATCGTCCAAATTACGAGATATATTTCGGGACCATATCGGAGTGCGAGATGATTGCTTAACTAGCTAGGGATGGTGCACAAACGAACGAACATGACACGACGGAGTACCAGATGGCGTAGATGCTTGACCGGAAGCCTTCAGCTAAAAAAGTTGACTTAAACAGTGAGGATCAGCATTCAATGTTCAGTGATGAGTGCTGTGACCAATAATTTTGGGGAATTATTTACCGCTACACTATTTTTACGCTGGTCTCTTTAGCCAACCGGGTCCTTTAACTTCTTTCTTCTACGTCCGTTTAGCTTCTAGTGGCCAATAATACTAACCGTTACTGGTTAGATTGTTCTTTAGTCTGCCCATAATTTTCCATTATTCTTCATTACTGTCTGATTGTCCACAACACTTTTCTAACCATTATCTGAGAATTAGATCCACTTTACATCATCAGTATTTACAAAAGAATATAGCTCATTTCAATTTCTTTGAGGACTAATGAGGGCAATCAGTGTGTGTGTGTGTGTGGTAGATTTACGAGCGTTTAACTTAAAAACACAGGTAAATGATCTGTCTGTGTGTTTTCGACATAGTACTTTGCACATATGTGCAGCAGTTCAAGTCGTCCATGTAGCATACAGAGCAAGAGAAGATAGTAGAAGAAATGCAAAATAGACACAGTAAACAGGGATATGAGACAAAGGGAATAGTAGTAACGAAGACTAATATAGTTTTATTGGATATTATAAGCAACAAGGAGTGGATGCATCTTCACCAGCCATTGAGGACGATCGCTTTGAGCCATATCACCAATTCTCTCTCCTGCCTCCATTGGTGTTTACTGTCCCGAGGATCCCAACAGGCCAAGAAGTCTACACCTTCCTATGTGGTTAGCTGGCTTAGACTAACTGTGGTGGATTTTATTGATTGATGAGGCCATGTTTTGGCTTGACCACCACTAGCTCTTTTCCAGCCTCACCCATGTTAAGTCGGCTTACATTGCCCGTTGTCGAGGAAGGCGATGGATAAGCATGCATGTGTAACACATGTCCTAACGATCTCAGTCGATGTAATTTCACAGCCTCGTCGATTGATTGCCTTCTCTTACCTAGCAGTCGACCGATGCCCAACCTCAGTATTGCTCACCTTATTATACCACCTAACACAGGAGATAGAACACAGGCACCCATGATCAAAGACACCTGGCCTTTTCATATCCTACACTCTCAACTGCCAGGTAACACAGCCATAAAGGAGGACGAAGCCGACTGATGAGCAGAACACCCGCCCTTTGGTTGATAGCCAGCCGGATATCACGTCTAAGCCAGAGACGGCGTAAACTGGCATATGCAAAACTAGCCTTCTGTGTCCGTGCATAGATTTCGTCAGGGATTGACCAGTTGGCTCTGGTTGATGCAACTTCCCAAATAAATGAAGCGGTCAACCAGCTCTACCACTTTACTCCCTATTTCTAAACTAGGAGTCAGTTTATTCCAGTCCTGTAACATCATCTTACATTTGGCGGGAGCGAATCGCATGCCAAACATTCGTAGATTGCAGCTCAAGGTATTCAGAAGACTCTGCATTTTGTCAGCGTCTTCGCCTAGAAGGACTATATCGTCTGCATATTCTAAGTCAACGAGATTATTCCCTGGTAGCAAGTCAATCCCTGTGTCTCTGAAGATATCTATTCGGATCTGCCGTGAAAATGACTCTTGTACTTGTCATGTGAAACATTTATTCATCGGGTTAGGACTCCAAATCTAGCATTCATGTGTAACAGGAGACTTTATCGCTTACATAATAGTATCCTCTCATTACACGTCGAAATTTATTCACTAAGTATGTATACTCCAGTCTAAACACAATTTTCTCTAATCATTTTTATTTTCCTCCATTGCGTCCCCCGGTGGGACATGCAACGTCATCCCTGAGCTTTGAAGTTTCATTAGCAGCAGTGTGTGTTTTATTTCAGGGGATGAGATTGCAAGCCTCACGTCCAACCTCCTGTCTGTAGTGAGTTTACTACTGACTAACTGAGTAAGGTTTATATGAATGCGTCGATCAGGTGTTGGATGCCGGACGACTTGCTTAGTTGGCTATTGTTGAATATATACCTTGAGTTTACAGCAGTAGGTAAGTGTTTACAGGGCGGGGGTTAATAGCAATCCTAACGAGTAACTGTGATAACTGTACCAACTTTGGCACACTTCTGAATGAATATAATACGAATGTAATTCTTAGCAACACTTGAGTAGCTTAAAAATACCCATTGAGTGAGTCATTTGAAAAAGAGAAGACGTACAGTGAAGAGACTCTTTTCGGCGAATTCATTCACATAGCTGTTTAATCTCATTTATATACAATTATTTTTGTGTGTTTAGATGAGGTTTGTCAAGTTTAGATAAATAATCAGGTAATAAAAGAATGATCTACTATAGAAACAAGGTTAATCAGACGCCAACTAAAGTAAGATGGAGTTAGTAAGTTAGATAACGTATTATAATTGGCAAAAATGTTTCAACCTAGGTCAGGGTAGCAACAGAGGTAATTACAGGTAGAGAGAGACTAAGTAGAGGTGGGTTAGAGGATAATATCATTCAAATTAAGACTGAAATTGAGCAGGTAATTTGGATGACGTAACATGCAGGACTAGAAATTGAGCATTGGTCAAGTCAGTAACAGTGGTAGTGAGGTGTAGAAATTAAATCAGGTGGGGTAGAGAACAAGAAAGTTGAAAGTGTAAAATATTACAATTGAAAAGACAAAATAATAATAATACTGAAGAGACAGAAAATAAAAGAAAATAAGTAGAATTTACCTGTCGGGCATTAAGATAGATTGCATCTATTGCAAGTGTAGTGATTGAACTAACTTCTTCTGTATGCAAGTGAATCCCCATCGTTTCTGCAGTTTGAAGAAGTGTCTGATTCCATACACATTTAGGAAGACTGCTTCGTATTCTGTAGATGACTTTGAAGTTTGTTTAGGTTGTAGCTTGATGTCCGGAATCTATCAGAGATGTTCTAAGATGGGGCTGCGGGGGGCATCGTGTTTTTCCCTTTGTAATTCTTACGTGAATTTCACTCATTCCTTTTTTTCAGGAAAAAAGGTTTGATTGGATAGAGGGGGATTTCATCATGAGTTGACATCAGTTAGAGAGCCACTGGAAAACCTACGTGGAAGAGTACCGGACAGCCAAATGTTTCGTCCTAGTTTGAGACTCCTCAGTTCATGATGAAATCCTTCATCCAATCAAATTTAAATCCCTACAAAACCAATACTTGAAAAAAAGTTTTATTTTCTCTCCATTTTTAAATAATATTTTTATCTTTGCAAACAATTTTGTTTTTAGATAATACTTTATTTTATGCACAAACTCATCTGCGTCAATGGTCGTTTCAAGCGATGGTTGGTGCACCGCTGTCTGTGGATGCCTTCTTTTTTATGTCGTACGTCTGTCTTTAAAAATTTTTTTGCTTCACTTTTAACCTTTAATAATAATTTTCGTTAAAGTTTGTATACTAGTGTAGTAGAAGATGACAAGAAGATGGCCGATGACAATAGATGAATAATAATACAGTAGTATGTTTAAGTGGCGGCTATGACGTTTATATAGCTTGGAAGTACCCATTAAGTCATGTAGAAAAAAGAAGGGGCGTCCAGTGAGCAGGTATTCTTTAAAATCTTCATTAAAATTCTGAGTTTTAGATAATAATCCGCATATTCTAAAGAACTTTGCGTTGTACAGAAACAATATACAAGTAACCAATCAAATCCCTACAAACCGACACTTGAATATCAATTCGATGCTCACTAGGGACTTGCCTTATTCAGATAGGTAGTTACCTGAGGTTCTGGTGAGAAGTCGTGACCAGTAGGGTGCAGCAGGTTGGGTGTGGGGACAAGTACTTGCAGAAGACATTGGCTAGCGGTCGCGCCATGTCGTGAATTGGCAGAAGTTAGAATTCATGGACTAGCCATTGGATCGGGTCCCAGTGGCTTAATGGTATGCGAGCTCGCCTTGTAACCAGAAGGTCATGGGTTCGAATCCCTTGGAGTGGGTGCGTACTGCTAAAGAGTCCCAAACTAAAAGTAAACAGCTGTCCAGTACTCCCTGATGGTTTTCCAGTGGTTCACTAACCAATTTTTTTGATTTTTTTTTTGATTTTTGATTTTTGATTTACAGCTTGATTCCACACTGTATTTTTGGTACAAGTATGGAATTTTCAGCATGGATATCGGTAGCCCAAATTTTGCAGGCCGACCATAGATATCAGGTGTGCGCCGGCGTGGGCTCGAACCCCGGACCATGTGCATGGTCGGCGAGAGTCCTAACCACTGTGCCACAGACGCACCAATGTCAGCTCATGATGAAATCCTGTAACCAATCATATCCCTACAAACCAACACTTGAATAAATAAGTAAACTGAGCAATGAAGCACAGTTGGCCAACCTAAATAAATACCGATCATGGAGTGCGAACGCACCAGTGTCCTTGAACGCATTTCATACATTGGATTACACAGCCTGCCGTTTTTACACAGCCAGTATGAACACTGTATACGAATTGATGTGCGAATTTCGTCCTGACCTCGTTTTTAAGTATTATTTAACCAATGGATTGATAACACGTTAGCTTTAGAATTGCTACTAGGGTCAGGCTTTGTGGTTAAGGTAAGGGCTAGGATTAGTATTAGGGTTAGAGTTATGATTAAGTTTAAGGTGGACCCAGATAGCATTTTCGCAAATAAAACTTTCAGCTCAGAGAACGCAACTACATCATCATATTGTTTTGAAATGCATTTGGAAAGTGTGCAGTTTGTGCGGCCAATATATATATATATATATATATATATATATATATATATATATAGATCCCCAGAAGCAAGGGAATTTATAAACATATTTAATTGTCGCAAAACGCCAGTTTGTCTTTCACCCATCCCTTAGTCATTTGCTGATACTTTGTAAATTCTCACAGGCTTCTGCTTTCATTGTCATATTTTTGTCGATGAAAATTTGCTTTGAATGGCCAGGAGACTCGTCTCATAACTTGAAAGTCCTGATTCATAGGTGTGGACTCATGAAGAGTCCTAAGCTAGGACGAAACACCTGTTCAGTTCTCTTTGATTTTGAATGGTTCCCTGACTTTTGTCATTTTGTGATCTCTCTTGAAACAGAAATATGACTGTGCATCACTGGGGATTTTTCTTGTCTGTCTGAAGTGTCTTTTATTTTCTTCTCGACTCGTTGGCAGTCTGTTTACATACCAATTATTCACGATGAGTACCAAAAATCTTTTGTTCTTACCAAGAAATAATCTGTTATGCACACTGTAGACATTAGGATATAGACTGATTTAGATTTACAGTAACTTATAGGATTCTAAATACACTCTGCATCAAGTCAATATCGCATCATAATAAGAATGTGTTTATTTTTACAAGTTGATCACGGATCGGTATCAGTTACGGAACCATTGAAAGCCTGCACTGGAGTACTGGACAGCTGTTTCATCCTAGTTTTTGAATCGTCATCAGAATGCACCCACTGGGGTTCGAACCCACGACCTTCCGGTTACAAGGCAAGTTCCTATACCATTCAGCCACTGGGACCCGATTCAGTGGCCAGTGCATGAATTCTAACTTTTACCAATTCGTGATTTAGCACGACGCCAACCAATGTCATCGGCGGGAACTCCATCCTCACTTCCAACTGGATGAACCTCACTGGTCAATACTTCTCACTAGAACCCCAGGAAACTCTGCCTTGTAGCAAGTCACTAGCTAGCATTAGATTGGTATAAAATAATGGTATACAAGCTTGCTTTGTAACTGGAAGGTCCTGGCTTCGAACCCCAGTCGATGGGTGCGTACTGATGATGATTCCCAAACTAGGATGAAACAGCTGTCCAGTACTCCAGTGCTGGTTTCCAATGTTTCCTTAACTGATATCAACCCGTGATCAACTCGTAAAAACAAATCTACTCCTTACAAATGAAACTCCTGAAAATGTGTTTATTAAACATTTGAACAAAATCCTCAATGAATAAAGCATTATAGCGTCCTCATCAGGAATTAACTTCATGCAGCGTTAGGCTGCTAGTTCAAAACTTTCAGTTGCTTATTTTTCACTTCACTTTCATCAGTCAAACCCTTTGCTTAATATTTGTGATATATCATAAAACCGAATACAACACTTATCAATGATTTTTATCATTTTTTCTTACAATCATATATTTTCAGAGGATTATTAACTACCTATTTAACGCTTCCAAAACTTCGAAGAATTTGCAGTTGGAAAAATTGGTTTAAATTTTGGTGTAGTTTTACATTTCATCGTATTGTTCGGTAAGTATGTGTGCATAATGAGATAATGTTCGACCGAGTGATTGAGAACACCGATTTTATTATTCTTTTTCCCTGCATTTTGAAGCTACAGTTGCGATAAGGTGCGACGCAAGCCCCACGCCCAGCCTATCCTCTTCTCTGATCACAGGTCTGGCCAGTAAACTACACAAAGTTGATATAGGACTACTACACAGATGTTTCGTTGTAACTTGGAAGTATTCATCAGTATGCAACCACAGATTCACCAGGGATAGAACCGAAAGCACTAAAGTCACAAGGCGAGCCTATTGACTACTTAACTATGGGTGGTAACATACCACCTTAAAAACATTGCTACTGAAGTTAAGCAACGTTGGTTATGGGTTACTGCTTGGACAGTGGAAGGAAGCAGGAAGCACCGGTTATTGCTAACAGATAGATAATAAAAGCTGAGTGCTAAAAAATGCAACTGCTCAGATTGTAAGGAATTCTGTATAGTTCACTTAGCGTGTTGGTTACTGCTCCGACTCAGACAAAATGAGATATGAATATATTTTTATGAAAGAGGTTCGATTATTTATTTAATTAAGTATTGTTATCTTGATATCTTATCAATAAAAGATAGTCAGAACAATGTTGTGTAGTTTCCAAAGTTGAGTTTCTACTATACCCGGTTGAAGAGTCCTCAGTTTGAACGAAACGGTCATCCAGTGCTCTGTATTCTTCAGTGTGTTTCACTGTATGATGTAATCTACCTTGATAATTTGGTATTGTTTGCAGTTGTTGGATCTGTAAAAGAGTTTTCCCACACGAATCGAAATTTAGTCAGAGCATCATAGGAATCCATACAGTACTGAGCTCTGTTAGATGGAAATTGAAATAGGTGCAAGAAAATTCGTGTGGTGTTAGCAAACTGATTAGGTAAGACCTGGTTGGTAATTACGCTTTGGTGTTTTACATTGGTCAGATCTGCAACAGATTTAGCTTGTGAAATATTGAAATGCATTTGCAAGTATGTGAAGCTGGGGATCGTTTTTGACTAAAACTGAGTGTAGCGGATGTTCTCCCTAAGGTTCCAGACAGAATTCATCTACTGGAGTCAGAGACAGTATCACTGAACATTTGGGCTTACGACTGACTGCGCTGAATACATAGATTAGCTATTAGGTAGCGATCACTGTCAAGAGAGAAGTATAAAGACTGACGCCCATGTCATGATCATGATCTGTAAGCACTTTGACCTCTCCTGATAAGAAAAATTGTAAACCTTTATGCATGACAAACATGTGTGTGATCAGAATTTCCCAAATACGTTGCACAAATATATTTCAGGTTTCAGAGAAATTACGTCCTTATATGTTTTCAATTCAGTTTTCATTTTCACTGTCAGTTGATTGGACAAGAATGTTCGGCCTCTTTTGAATTGTCAGCTCCTAGTACAGACGCTTCAACAATTTTTGAGGATTAACTGAACGCGTCAAAAGAGGCCGAACATTTCTGTCAAATCAATGAAACAGGGAAATCAGAAGTGAATTACAAATAAGTAATGAGTAACACTCGCTGTACAAGAGTTGGTGGCTCTCGTGGTATCTGAAATGATGATCACTTGATTTCAACCTCAGTGAGAAAACAAAACCATCGTTCACACTGAGAAACACAGGTACATTCGGTTGACAAGTCCCAAACAGGACGAAGTGAGCATCTTGGGGGGGATTCCGCCGCTAGCCACTACACACCAAAATTACTTTAAACTGCTTTTTTTGTTCTGTTGGAATTCATAGAGGGAATCAATTGCTGAATAATATTGCTTTTTTTCTCATATTCTTCTGTTTTTCTCCCCCCCCCCCACCCTCTTTCTAGCTTAACACCAGCTTATCTTCTAGTTTTACTTTTATACACTGGTCTCTTTATTCATGGTTATTCTGGCCCATTATATCCACAGAATCCTGAATTAACAGATGTTAAATTCTGTCGAGCTCATTGGTGGGCAACATATTTAAACAACTTTATATATGCAGATGAAGTAGTGAGTAAAAGTGTTGTTACATAATGCAATTCGGTATTTGTGTAAATAACCAAATTTCTGAGTAATTATCATATAACGGGCGAAGTTCAACAATAGCGTCTCAGGAATGTGAACACTCCAGTGACCTTGAACGCATGCTAGTCGTTGGCTAACGGCACCTGTCATTATCATAGCTGTAAATATCAACGCTATTCACCAGCTTAGGAGCGAATTTCACCCAGATCACGTTTTTTAAGTACTGTTTGGACGATATGTTAATAGCTCGTTAGAGTCAGGATTGGGGTTAAGGTAACTATTGGGGTTAGGTTTAGGATCAGGGTTATAATTATCATTAGGGTTAGAATTACGGTTTGAATAAGGTTTATGATTATGGTTAGGATTAAGGTTAGGTTTAGTGTTAGGGTCAGGATTCAGCTTATGGCTATGATTAGGGATAGATTTATAGTTGATGTCATTTATTTTAATCTGTTTTATTATCCACGTTTTCCTGGTAAGTAGTCATCGATCCTCTTGCTGGAAAATATAATAATTCAACCAACGGCTGTTTTGGAAGACTGCAAGCAGGATGAGAGAGATAAACAGTTTATCTGTAGTCATCTCGGTGAATACATGTACAGAAACTAGTCTAACTTAGCAACTGATACTCCTCGTTACAACTAGGACGTATTTTTAATGCGTTTCAAAGCATTTTCTTATCATTATGCATCATTTTTTTAAGCAAACATTCCTCGTTTTCATGATTGGTCAGCTAAAGGTCACTCATTCGTTCGCGCTCCTGGGACGCTATTGTTGAACTTTGCCATATAAAGTACCGGTGCTGATGTGACTAATTTCTTAATCGATGAAATCATCTTCGAAGTCGGCTGTACAGTAGTATTTATATTTACCAAAAATGCATAGTAGTCTGTTATCGAGTAACAGGTGGTGATATAATTAATGGCTTTAGGAGTAAAAAATAAAAGTTGTAAATTACGTGTTACTCAACGGCACAAACGTCACCTACAAGGTGAGGCTAAATGGTACAAAAGGCGTCAGGTTTCGGCTTTTGTGTATGGCGGAGGCGCGGGCAATTCGTCAATACAACTCCGAACTCTGTACACAGAGAAAGTTTGTCCCGTCTCTTATTCTACCTTGGTCTTAACCTCTTCACTAGTCGTTCCCTGTAGAAAAATTTCTATCCTTTTTCTTTTCTTTTTTTAAAATTTTACTTTTAGTTTGCTTTTGCTTTTATAATTAATTCGCTATTATCACTCTCACACATGTTCCTTTTGTACATTTTCACACCCTCTTCACACTTGTTAAATGGACACTCAACTATCTTTATTCTCACTCAACAGCAGTTTTAACCTTATCAAATTTCTAACTTTGTGCCGCTGAGTATCACGTAGTTTACAAATTTTATTTTTTTTTTACTTTTAAAGCGACTTTTGAGTAACTATATCAATTGTCACCCCCATATTACTCAATAATAGACTACTATACATTTTTGGTAAATATAAATACGACTGTACAGCCGACTCTGAAGATGAGTTCGTCGATAAAGAAAATTTTCTTCGCTGAATTTGTCTTTTACTTCCTTCATGACTCAGTGTGTATTTTCAGTGACTTATTTGTTGTTTATGCACATGACTTTCATTTAATGGGTACCGCTCCACCTGTTTGAATCTAAGCAAGGAGGAATTATCGTTAGTACTAACACACACTAAAATGGACTCACGCGAAAAACTTGGAGGATCTGGACTTCGCCGATGATATATGTCTGATTTCCCACAAACTGGGAGACATGCAAGTGAAAAGCAACAAGTTGGCAGAAGAAGCATCCAGAGAAGATAGGACTTCCTTCAGGTGAACATAGATAAAACAGGGGTGATGAAGATTCCTGGCCAACAACAACAACAACAACAGACAACAATCAGCCAGAATAAATGGGAGGAACCTGAAAGAAACAACCTCCTTTACCTACCTACCTACCTACCTACCTGGGAAGCATCGTTTCAACTACAGGCGGAACTGTGAGGATATCAAAGCAAGAATCAGAAAAGCAAGACAAGCTCTCATTACTCTCAAGTCTGTGTGGAGATCAACAGCACTCCTCAGAATCAAAAATAAGATCCGGATTTTCAACTCCAATGTGAAGTCAGTGCTACTTTCTATGCGGGTCAGAGACTTGGCGCGTCATAAAGAGCACCTCAAACAGACTACAGACCCTCATGAACAGCTGTCTTTGCCCAATTCTCAAGGTCAGATGGCGGCCAGAAAAGATCAGCAATGGGAATCTCTGGGAGCAAAGCGACCAGGAACCGATTGTGCAACAAATAAGCAAGAAGAAATAGGGGTGGATTGGTCATACTCTGAGGAAACCATCAAGTGACATCACTAGACAAGCCATCGCTCGAGTGGACGTCGAAAGGGAAGCGGCGAGTTGGGGTGACTTGGGGGAGGTGGTGTGAAGTGTAGATGAAAGCATGTGGGCAGACTTGGAGCGGGGTGAAAAAGTTGGCAGAGGACCGAACGCAATAAAGACGCGTGGCTGAAGCCCTATGTTCCTCTAGGAATTAAAGCAAATCATAATAATAACACACACATACACACGTCCAATAATTGTGGCTTATATGCTGGTACATAAAAGAACTGTCCCAGATAACACAGTTGTGTGGAAGGCGTCACTGGTAGCAAAGGCATAATAAAGAATTCGAAGTCGTATAACATTTCTTTGAAAATCCACATTGATTTGAGAGTAATGAAGAGCTGTCAAATATCCAGATCTCAAAGATCCTGGACCTATCCATCCCTGGTTTCAGAAGACTAAGCCTAATACACACGCAGAATACTATGAAATGTAACATACAATGCGGAACAACAGAAAACGGTTGGGTAATACGATTGTTTGCAATTAATAGTGTTCTCTAAGCTGGTTGGTTTAGTGGCGGAGCTTTCGTCGTCCACCCTTTGGACAACATCCCCCTTCAGCGCAATATTTAGCATAAAGTGAAGTGATTTGAATTGCTTCATGAGTGATATAATTGCATCTCCCGGTAACCAATCATCTTTACATATGTATTGATCTTTTTCTATTGAATTGGATTTTAAACTTTCTAGTCACATGTCATTTACTTTTTATTAGTTGGTATATTTCGTCGATATTAACGTGTTTGTTAATTGCACATTCGTTTGAGTACCAGGCTTCTAGGAATTCCCTGACTGCACTTTTGATGTTTCCTCTGTCTAAGATTCTGACATTATCCCAATCAAACTGATGTCCATAATTATCTATATGCATTGATATGAAAGAACATATATCATGCTTTTTCACGGCTGATTTGTGTTCCATGGATTCTGATTCAAAGGGAACTCCCACTCTGACCGATAAAATACCTGTTACAATTCATACAATTTATTTTGTAAATTGTATTAATTTTATCTCATTTTTCTGTTTGCATAATATCGAATTAAGGGATTTGACTGCCTGGCTTGTGTGCTGTATCTATATCAAACGGTTTTAGTATTCTGGCTGTTATTTCAGAGATATTTTTCATGTATGGTAGGATGAATTTTCTTGTGGTCTTTGATGATGGTTCCTTGTTGGTGCTGTGATTCAACTTTAAACACTTTTTAATGAAATTTTGTAGATAACCATTCATTCTTTTTGAAGACTGTTTGTAAGTATTTTTCTTCCATTCTTTTCAACTATGGAGTGTTACAGTGTGTTTGAACTCTCTTTTAAACAATGTCTGCACACAGTTTCGTTTGTGAGTAATTGGATTATTGCTAGTTTAGTTGAGTATTCGATCTGTGTGCGTTGATTTTCCATATATATATATATATATATATATATATATGTTTCTAAATTTCCTGTGTTAGTTCTCTTGATTGTGACATCTAAAATGGGATTTTGTTATTAAACTCTTCTCCTGTGAATTTAGTAATTAATTCTTCTCTTTTTCTTGAGCCACAAATTTTCTCTGTCATACGATTGTTTACTTTTAAACTGATAGCAAAACATACTTAAAATTGTGTTACCATATGCAAAAGTTTGTAAATAAATTCTCTAATCTTCTATAAACCGGTATACGATAAAGCAGGGATAACCTTCTTGTCTCCCGCGAAGCGGTGGCCAGTTCAAATCAGCGAAAGATTCAATGTTCAACAGTAGTGATAGAAGGTCTGTCTTGCTTTTCTTATCCTGGCTTTGAAATCCTTGTTTATGCCACCAGTAGTTGAGATGGTTTTGCTTACACAAGTCAAAGAGGTGACTTGTTTTTAGATTTCTACCCTTGATGGTGATCAGTGCTTGTTGTTAGTGGGTTAGTGTCTTCATCACCTCTATTTTGTTCATGTTAAATTGAAGTCCTGTCTTTGCTACTTGCCTCCTCTGCCAACTTGCTGGTTTTCGCGAATTTCAGACTTTTAGAAAACAGAAAGCATGAGCGAAGAAATATTTACTTTTCAATTAGATTCTCATCTCACTCTGGCTCTACTCTAATATATTATGTATAGCATTTTTACTACAATACACAACAGTTTACCAATCAAGTAAGTGGCACTGATATGTTTGTTAACAATAATTAGTCAGTGTCAAAATGTCAATGCGACGGGTGATAATTAACGAAGAAAATTAATGCACACAAATAAAAGGTAGAAATGGTTAGAATAAATTAATTTTACAAGGATAACACGTAATTAACGATGAAGTGGTCAGAACAAATAATAAAATAATTTGGACAATTATAATTTGTATAATTTTTAAAGGTTTAGTGGGAGGGGGGCGAAGTAGTCCGGTTTATACATTCATGTAACGATGATCAACGTCAGGAAAGTGGCTGTACAAATTTCTTCTGAACACACACAGGTTTAGCTTCTTCAGGTGGATTCCTGTTACTTAGGCTGTCTGTAGAAGACGAACTCGTAGAGCAAAATTAAGATTAGTGAAAATGCGATAAATCATTTTAAATGCAGTATTAACATCAACCTTGTGCTCACTATCTACAAGGTGTGCTAAAATAGAGCTACGAATAGATCTTCTTTGTTTCTTGCTTAACCATGTTGGATGATGTTTGGAAATACGATGATGAACCTGCCTAATTGTACACCCAATGTAGCTGGCTCCGCAGCTGCAGTCGAACTGGTAGATACAGCTAGAGGAGGCAAATTTAGATAGTTTATCCTTGTTTCTCGAACGTAGAGTAGAGGTGGTTGTGAAGAGACAACGTACCTCTGCTGCATAATAATTTCAGACTTCCCAGTGGTTTTTCGTGGGTCCAACACACTAACTGTCTTGAGCATACACTTAAGAGTTACAGATCTGGTCCACAGGACACAGATGTTAAGCTGTTTCTTCTTTGCCTTTCCCTACTTCTTGCCTTTACAGAGATGGTCAGTGCATTTGTATAAATTAATTCAGGTACATGACATGACAATTACACTGTCAATATTATCTATATATTCTATACATTGTGAATTTTTTTTCATTTTTAGTGTATGGGATGGTCATGGTATTTATCTGATGAACTACAATTTTCACTTGTATTGGCGCCAATATTTTTATCTTTACTCATGTGGTAAGAAGATATTATACTACTTATTTTGTTGCATTCTTTTTTTATTAAATCGATCAGCGTGTTTAGCTTCGGAATAGGCGAATTGACATGAAAATTTTGAATCGTTCACAAGAAGAGGAGGAGGGCTTTCCTGAGCTGGTTTTATAACAGGACAGAGATTAAATTATTATTATTATCATTATTGTTTCCTTTAGTTCCTAGAGTAACATAGGGCTTCAGCCGCACGTCTCTACTGACCTCGGTTCTCTGTTAAGGTTTTCACCCGGTTCCACGTTCGCCAACATGCTTTCATCTCTTCACATAACCTCTTACATGTCACCCTTACACTGACGACCAACTCACCGCTTTCCGTTCGGGTTGTCTTCTGGGTGACTGGAGTAGATCGTCGACTCTCCTGTGGACAATTTGGTGAGTACACTCCCCCTCCATCTGCTTTCGCATATTCCCAGTACTTGAATACCATATGTTTTCATCTCGTTTGCAATCTGGGCAGCTTTGACAGTCTCATACATAGTGTGTAAGTCCCATGTCCCCACACTGACTTTTTCGTTTGTCGCAAGGAGACTCATCTTAATGAAGTTTCCGTAGCAGGTTTGTTTAAAGGATGGGTTTCCTAGCCTTACACCTGAGAAGGGGGTTATTACATGTATATGTAGTTTACGGAGGAGCGACTTCATTGGTTGCTCCCCTTAGAATCCGGAAAACAAGGAATAAAGCAATCAGAACAACACCAGCAAAGGGAAACAAAATTTACAACAGGAAGGGTGGCGACAACAACAACAAAAGAACCCGTAGCAGCATTGAGAACGATCACTTTGAGCCATATCACCAGTTGCATCCAGCCATTGGTGTTTACCGTCTCGAGGACCCCAATCAGGAAGTCTGCCCCTTCTTAGGTGGCTGAAACTAACTTTTGTGGATTTTATTGACTGCTGTCATGTTTTGGTTTGACCGCCGCTAGCTTTTTTCTAACCTAAACGGTCCTATGTCAGCTAAGATTGACCGTCAAAGAAGGCGATGACTAAGAAAGCATAACAACACATGTCCTAACCATCCCGGTCAATCTAACTTCACAACCTCGTCTATTGATTTCCCCTCCTTACCTAGCACTCGACCAATGCCTAACCTCGATATTGTTCAACCTATTACACCATTTCACACAGGATATAGAACACAGACACTTATGATCGAAGACAGCTAGTTAGGCGTTTCATGTCTTCCACTTCCAATGGCCATGTCTCAGTCACCGGCATAAAGCAAGACGCAGCGGATTGCTGAGTAGTATACACGCCCTTTAGTCGATAGCCAGCCGGATGTCACGTCTACTCCAGAGATATAGAGTGAGTTGGCAAATGCCATACAAGCCTTCTATATCCATGCTGAAATTTCGTCAGTTGATGCAACTTCCCAAATAAGTGAATTGGTCAACACGCTCCACCAACCACTTCACTCCCTAAATCTAAGGTAGGAGTAGTCGATTTAGTCCAGTCCTGTCAGTTAGCTGCTTATGACCTAAAATATTTAATTGAAACCAGTTATAATACATTATATATATCCAAACCAAGTTCACTTTTAACGGTTTGAAAACATTTGGGCATTGGGTATATGATATTCATTATAATAGAGGTTTTTTGTATTTCCCAATGAATGAAAAAACAAAACGAGATTGTTTTAACCTACATTTTGTTTGTCGTCATGAGTCAACCCTCAAGTTAGGATTCTTGTAACAAAATCATTGGGAAACAAAGCACAAGGGTGATATGGTTATTTCAGATTATATATATATATATATATATATATATATATATATATTATAAGAGCTAAATCTCTTGTGAAAGATCGTTGATTTTATTGTTAAGGTGGTTAAAAATCAGTGACAGTTACGTAATCAGAAACAATAAAATATAGCGATTCAAACCTATAAGACTGAAAAATTAAAGTTTGATATGCACGAAGTCGGATATAAAGACGGCGGTGATGAAATATCGTCAGTTGAATTCAAAGGACTAAAACTGAAGCGAAAAATACACGGGAGTTGGAACAAAATTAGAGGAAAACGAGTTACTAAACAGACAGTTGCCAGAGCAATTTAAGTGCCAAGACGGATTCATCTTGAATATATCGGTCAGATTTCAGTCGTTTTATTACGATAGCTTAAGAAAAACGAAGAAGACTGGCTGTTCTGTCTATTAATTATTTTGAATGCTTCCCGTATATCCTTTTGGTGATCTAGGTATTGCAGGTATTCGGTAACTGACGCGTTTAACGAATTGGTCACTTTAATTGAAGCTCTCTGGTACATGTTCAAAGAACCTAGTATTGGCCCTTCTTTTCGCTCTTCTGATGTAATCGCTCCAGCAGTCACACAGTCACGAATAACATATAAGGCGTGCTTATCAATTTTTGACTTTGGCAACGAGCAAGCTGTTTGGAGTAGGTTACAGGATTTTATCATGAGCTGACATCGGTTAGAGAACCATTGGAAAACCAGCACTAGAGTACTAAACAGCTGTTTTGTCCTTCAGCAGTATGTGCTCACCACAGGGGTTCGAACCCAGGAACCTTACGGTCATAAGGCGAGCTCTTAGATTATTATGCCACTGAGATCCGGTTCACTGGCCAGCCCATGAATTCCAACATAGCGCGACTACTAGCCAATGTCATCTGTGGCGAGTATTTGTCCTCACACCCAACCTGCTGTACCCTGCTGATCACAACTTCCCAGCAGGACCCCAGGTGACTGCCTATCTGGATAGGGCCAGTCGCTAGTGAGCATCTCATTGATATGCAAGTATTGGTTTGTAGGGATTTGATGGATTGGTTACATGATCTCACCATGAGCTGACATTGGTTCAATGGTTCTCTAACTAATGTAAGCTCATGATGAAATCCTGTAACCAATCCATCAAATCCCTACAAACCAATACTTGATTTCGACAATACAATAAGAAGACATAGTTTATCTGAAACGTGTGTAATGTATTGGCGCGCAACACATTTCGGATATTCTGATCACACACACACCAGTACTTGTCATACACAGTTATACATAAGGTATGAATAATTACAATACAAGTCAGATTGTGTACACGTCAAGCTCACAAATAATGGGTAGGGAGACGTAAAAGGTGTGGGTGAGAAAGAAAAAAGAGAATAAAGAAAAACAAGGCAAAGAAGGAGTTGAAAATATTATGAAGTAAAATTGGTCCTTGGTTCTAGCCTGGATTACCAAGGCATGTTTGATATGATAACAAATAACTTTTGGACGCATAAGACAGGTTTAAGTCTTTTTATGGCTAAGGCTTCAATGAATTTAAGTCTGTGGTCCAACCTTGTTTTATATATCGGCTTAAAGGAATTGTTGAAATCAACCTTGTGACCCGTCTCTGTGGTATCCTTCGGTATAGATGAAGTTGGACATCTATTTCCGGGGTCAATTGTGTCTGGCGATGGAAATATATGTCCGACTTCATCTATACCGAAGGATACCACAGAGATGGGTCACAAGGTTGATTTCAACAATTCCTTTAAGCCGATATATAAAACAAGGTTGGACCACAGACTTAAATTCATTGAAGCCTTAGCCATAAAAAGACTTAAACCTGTCTTATGCGTCCAAAAGTTATTTGTTATCATATCAAACATGCCTTGGTAATCCAGGCTAGAACCAAGGACCAATTTTACTTCATAATATTTTCAACCCCTTCCTTGCTTTGTTTTTTCTCTTTTCTCTTTGCGTCTCCCTACCCAATATTTGTGACCTTGACGTGTACACAATCTGACTTGTACTGTAATTATTCATGCCTTATGTATAACTGTGTATGACAATTACTGGTGTGTGTGATCAGAATGTCCGAAATGTGTTGCGCGCCAAAACATTACACGTTTTAGATAAACTACGTCTTCTTATTTTGTTGTCAAAATTCATAAAGAGAACTAATTGCTTAAAATTTCAACACTCGATTGTTTGGAATAGAGTCTCACTTTTCGCTTAATACAAAACCAACAATAAAAATTGTCGTGTATTACACACATATATGTATATTAATATTTATTTTCAAACTTCACTTTGTTCAGCCATGAATACATCGGTATTTCCTTTGCCATTGCACTTATCATTTCGAGTATTGGATCTACCTACGGTATTTCATATGCAAACAATTATTTACCCTGGTTCCTTGCAATGTAAGTTGTGAGCATTTTGTTTTGTTTGTTTTTTGTGTTGAAAAGCAGAGTAGGCTTTTTCGATTGTTTAATAAAGGTCAGTACTGTAGCTCATGTCATGACCTCTAAGGAAAAACAATTATGTGAGTAAATCTGTATGATGTCAAGGTATGAATGCATCTATATCAACCAGAGCGTGGTTTAGAGTGAACAGTCATCAGCGGTCTTCAGCCATAGGCTTTAAGCCTTTTGAAGATTCCACTAAGCGCAAAAAAGAGGATTGGCATGAAAGTAGCATAGTGCTAATTGTATCTGGTCGTCAAAAACTACTTGTAACTGCGTCGTCTATTTCGTTGATTAACCAGCTTAATTTATTAGGATTAAGAATTAGTTGTGAGAATCTTTCATTTGAAAGAAGAGAACACGAAGTTCAGCAAAGATGGTGATCTTTTTGGCGATTTCATTTTCAAAGACTGTACAATCTCATTTAAATACACAACTTTACATGGATACAATTCTTGTTTGATTTCACATAATTACGACGGCGAATAATAGGTGATAATTATTTTCAACTAGATATGTTTTTAACGAGAAGTTTAGAAACAAAATTACACAGGATTAGAACGGATAACAAGTGTGTAAAAATGAGCACTCAGCATCAACAACAAAATTCGGTCGGATTTTCAATACAAACAAGGCCGAGTCAGTCAGTTCTTCTATACGGATCAGAAACTTGGCGGGCGGGTCACAAAGAATAGTTCCAACAGCCTATTGCAGACCTTCATCAACAACAACTGTCTTCGCTGGCTCTATACTGAAGATCAGATGGCCGAGCCGGAAAGAATCACCAACAAGAAACTATGGCTGGGAACAAACAAAACAAGAACCGATCGCCAACCAAGAAATATGCAGGAGAAAGTGGAGATGGATTGGACACTCGCTCGCTGAGGAGACCGCTGGGTGACATCGCTCGCGCGTCAGGCTATTGCTCGAGTGGAACCCGAAAGGGAAGTGGCGAGGGTGACATGGAGGAGATTGTGTGAAGAGAGAGGAGTTAAAACAGTATGGACTAAGATGGATCCAGGTGAAAAGTTCAGCAGAAGGAAGACAGAAGCAAGTGGAGACGAGCAGTTGTTCCACTAGGAACCCAATGGGACAATAATAATATAATTATAAAAATGAGCATGGAAACAAAATTTCAAAATAATAGTTTTCAACTTGAGATGGGAGTTAGGAAGTGCGAATATAGGTTACGAGAGGCATAGAAACACAAAAACTGTACAGGATTAAGATATAATTATAAAATAGTTATTTTAAACGAATTATAAATGTGAACAGGAAAAGCATGGAAACAAACTTAAAATAACTGTTTTTATAATTGAAAAAATTGGAGGAATCGAATGAAGCCTGAGGGAGTACGAATCACACACACACACACAGCGAACAAAAAAAGCTCCAAAAGAAAAGAGAGAACGAAAGAAGAAAAAGGAAAAAAACCGAAGTTAAGGGAACATACCGTACGGGGTCCATGGTAGTTGTAGAGGTTGAACTAATTTTTTTTGAACACACAGCTCCGGCTTCTCGATGCATATTCCGAGGGCTTCTGCAGTACAGAAAAGTCGGAAACATACTACGTTTGGTAGGCTTCTGTTGACTTTGTAAATTACTTTGAATGAATCATTTGAGATTTTGTGGGAGGTGTTGATCAGATGTTCAATAATGGGACTTCTGATTGAATTGGTGCCTCGTCTTTGCAGCCACGCTGGTTAATGCTCTCTAACACGTTTTGAAATGACGTGAATACAACGACCTATGTACCTAGCTCCACACGAGCACATGAACTGGTATACGCACATTTAATTGGTTATATGCGAGAGTTTGTCCTTCGCGTTGTTTCGAAGTACTGGACGGCTAGAGAATGTCACTCTTAGTGTTGCTGCAGAGAAGGTCTTTTTTTAAAGAGCTGGATATTCTCCTCTTCATTTATCAGGCTGTGTCTGTGATGAACCTAACGCATACGGTGGATGCTAATTATGTTATTCACCTACCATGCAGTAGTAATTCAAATGTGAGAGTGTGACTGGTTGACTGTCAAGTGCTAAAGCCAAGGAGCTACATCTCCGATAGAAAAAATTATGCGTACATACTAGTCTTTTAAGTGACTGCCTATTCAGAACTGTAAAATAATTGTACAGGCCAGCTGAGTGAATTTTCAACATAGAACAGTTTCAGCTGCCAAACTTAATAATAAAAATGTAAATGAAGGTGCAAATGGAAAAGAAATAAATCTAAATAAACTACAATCAATTGAAATTTAAAAGATACAGAATAGTTACAAAAATATCAGATAGATTTAGTGAAGTAACACAGAAATTATGAATTCACAAATTCCACAATAGGTGAGGACAGTAATAATAATGGCTGGCTGGACCAGTTTCTGTTTTGGTAAGCAGAACTCCGGTTGATTCAGGCGAATTGCAATGAACCCTACTCCTTGGAGCGTTCGGTATCTAGTGTCCTGCCATAATTTATTCGATATCTGATAAGCAATGGAGGGAGACTGTACAGTGCTAGCTAGCTTTGTGGCCTCTTTGAATTAGGTGGTCTAATAGAGAAAACTTAAAGAAAATCTAAACAAGTGGTGATTCAGCGAAGAGACTCTTTTCAAGAACGAATTTATTATCAAGCTGTACATTCGGATATATATATGGTTTTTTAAAAATTATATCCAGCGACGGAATGGAACCCTAATTGTGAATGCATAAAATAATAATAGTATGAACAATTAGAATGTTTCTGATTATAATCACAGTTTAGTGTCAAGTGGCAAAACAATCAATGTCATATACAGAATAATTCATAGGAGGGATAGAACTTGAAAAAGGATATGCAATTATAGGATTAGTAGGCAAATCGAATAAAACAAAAACGTTACGTAATATTGTGTGAAATTTGATAGCATAGAATTTATCGTTGTAAAAAAGAATTGATTAAGAATGACAAGTGGAACAAGTCAAATAATACCGGGGACTGTTCAAAGCAAGAATAGTAATAGTAACAATTGACGTAATAAAGGAGGAGTATACAAACTGAATAGACAAAATGAAAAAAAAACTAGTAGAGCCAAAATATGATTAGGGATTACAATACTTTAGCATAGAGGGATTAAGACCATGAAAGTTGGAGTGGTTGAACGAGCTCTGTCTGTATACAGAGACCTGGCTTTTCTGTTTCGATAGCCAAAAATGGCTTCAGCATTACAGATGAGTCAGCTACGTAATGATTTGAGCAAATTACTTGTCGCCTTGTAGGTGAATTTAAAGACGTAGGCTGTAGATATAGGGTGATCAGTTTTGACCAGATGTTGAATGATCGCGCTTCTTATTACTTCATTTTCACCTCTTCGTAACTATGCAGGCTAGTTTTCTTGCACCCCAATAGGGTAGATACTGAGAAGTGGTTCTCTAACCGATGTGAGCTCATGACGAAATCCTGTAACCACATATCGTTTTAGTGGATACTGGGGATCGCAGAGAGCGAATGCACCTGCACCACTGATAAAGATTTTCAGCGAAATCATCAATGTTCTCCAGCCATTAATCCTTATTATCGTGACTATTTCAACCAAACAGCTTACATATCCCTACATAGTTCAAACCAAGTGTCAGAGACTTCATGGATTCATGGCAGGTTTTCATTTGGTCACCCCCCCACCTCTTTTCCAACTTAGTTATATGTCAGCTAATATTTCTTGACGACGAACGTGGTGCTCTGCATGCACAACACGTGTTCCAGTCGTCTTGACCGACGAAGCTTAACAACCTCATTGATTGGCTTACCTTCTTTATGCAAAACCCTACGTCTAATCAGAGAACTACTCACTCTGTTCTACAATCTTACATGGGGAACAGAACACAAAACCTATGGTTAGCTAAATCTTGTTTCGTATGCTGAGTACAGTGGATTCCGATGACAATTTCAGAATAGTGAATGCCTGTCTTGCTTTTTCAATCCTGGCTATTTTTTTAACATCGTTATCTATTCCACCTGTAGTTGAAACGATGTTGCCTAGGTAAGTCGAACAGGTGATTCCCTTCAGATTTCTCCCATGAATGGTGACATGGTACTTGTTGTCATTTGGGTGGGCATCTTCATCAATTATAAAATTTGAGCTATATATTTCTCATCACTCCAACTTCATGTTGTTGTAATATGTGCGTTAATCAAACTTGGTACTACATACGCGTTAGTCTCCAGTTGAAATCTAGGCTCAGTTTTCTTCAAATATTTCATATTATGAACTACATCTATCATAATTCATAGTTATTTAGCTTACTAACTAAAAGCAGTTTTCTATTAGATGTTATCTGATGGGTGGCGATCTGTATCGGTTCCATGTTCCTGTATCTCAGGGTGATTTTATTCTCATCAAGACTCGTGAGTAGGTGTTTCAAACACAGAAACGTTTGCTATAAGCCTATTAAGCTATGAAAGACACTTTTTTTTACAGGTTCTTCTCTACAGAAACTTATGATTCAAGCGAACTGAAACATTGTATTTCTGTCGGTTGTAGCGAAGAAAGTTTTCTTTTCGACAAAGTCATCAACTAGGCTGTACATACGTGTATTCATGATAAGTGGGTGGGAAATTTCCAGAATAATTTTCGGTCAAAGGTCAAATTAGTAAAATTACAATTAGGAATTACAATGCCATAATAAATAGGGGGTGGGGGACGGATAAAACTCAAACAAAGTAGCATCATAATAACTGAGAAGATTGACATATTGTGCAATTCGGGGTTGGAAATGTAGAAATAACAAAATTGGACAGGATGTTTGGATAACAAAATCTAGTGGGATCATAACTAATGTGACGAATAATTGTTTGTGGAATCAGGGATTAAATATGTAGAAATAGTAAAATGACAAAATAGACAGGAAGTTCGGATATGAAAATATGGTAGTGTAAATAGGGATTAAGAAAAACTTAAAAATAACATGAATAAACAGGAAGTTTGGATAAGAAAGTCACTGAGATAGTCACTATTAGAAGAATTACGTGTTTATGAGGGCCATGGCAGGGACAAGGGTTGGATGTATTTCTTTTGGATACATAGCGTGGGTTTGCGTTTTTGGATAGCTACTGGTTCGGCTATGCCCATTTCGAATCTTTTACATGATTTTGAAGGATTTTCCGAATGACGCTGAGTGTCCTGAATTGACGAGATGTTCTGTTACTGAGCTACATACACGAATTCGATCTCCTTTTACTAGCCAGGCTGGATAGTGTTCACGAGTGCGTTTTTGAAGTTAACGCATGGTACGGCCGATGTACTCAGCTCCGGACGAGCAAGTAAACTGGTATATCCCCGTTGTAGTGGCCCAATGCGACAGCTGGTCTTTCGCGTTCTTAACGCTTGACCGGAAATTATTCTGGAACTTTCCTATCCATTTATCATAAATACAGCCTAGTTGATGACTTCGTCGAAAAAAAACTTTTCTTCGCTGCAACCGTCTTTTTAATAATTCCTATGATCCAATGTGTATGTTCTGTCTTTCTGTCGGTGTACTGTAATCGAAGTAATCATTGGAGTGCCCGTTCTAGAAGCTGATATGCTTAACAGATAGCCAGTAATTCGTCTCGATAAAATTCAACAACAGGACATTCAAGAGTTTTGATGAATAATTCAATTTCATTAGGATATTTTGGTGACTCTAAGTACGGGATAGATAAGAAAAAGATCGATTTTTACTGGATTATTACACATGACGGTTTATCATCTTATATGCAGCATATGATTTTAAAGTCCCTAATAAATAGTTCACTCTTATTTACGAAAACTACCTGATCTGTAGTGTGTGTGTGTAGGTGTAGTTCATCGGCTTAAATACCTAACTTCCAGTCAGAAATTCCTGGGTTCGAGCTGCACTCCATCTACCTCACCATAAACAACTGGGAAGCGTCATTATCCCTTGAACATTATAGTTACAGTGAAGCATCTGTTTGTGGTTATTGAAATCAAAGAGCAGGATTCGATTACGTACTAGCTCAAAAGGCAGAAAGCTCGTTTAGCATGCGAGAGACACTGTGATAGATTGATATTCAGGTACTCAAATTCATCATCTGGTGTGTTTCAATGGGTTCACTGGTAGTATGATAGCCAGACACGCACACATGGTTCTAATTTCCATCCCCAGCAATTTCCTCCCCAACCTCACCTAGCTTACTAACCGGTAGAAAGACGGAAATACAGAGACAAGAATGAGTGTGATGCCATAAAACACACGCCACTGCTAGTGAAATTCCAAAGCTCAAGTCTCAAGCCCTATGTTCCACTCAGAACTCTAGTAAGTCGAAGAAAACACAATCTTCAGTGCATTTTAAAGCTAGAATCTCTTATTTCAAATTGAAATCTAAACATCTTCAAGTATTGGTTTTGTATGGATTTTGTTTAATTGTATGGAGAACTTCATCATGAGTGGACATCAGTTACAGAACCACTGGAAAACCACCAGGGAGTACTGGACAGCTGTTGTTTGCCCCGTCCTAGTTTGGGACTCTTCAGCAGTACGCACCCACACCACGGGGTTCGAACCCAGGACTTTGTTTTTACAAGGCGAGCCAGCTCATAGACCATTGAGCCACTGATGTCAGCTCATGATGAAATCCTCCATACAATCAAACAAAATCCCTACAAAACCATTACTTGAAAATTAATCTGATGCTCACTAGCGACTCGCTTCACTCAGGCAGTTAACCTGGGGTTCTAGTGGGAAGCCGTGACCAGTAGGGTACAGCAAGTTGATGATGGGGCAGTAACTCATGGAAGACGACATTGCCAAATGGCCGCGCTATGTCATGAATTTCAAGAAGTTAGAATTCGTGCACTGGCCATTGGATTGGGTCCCAGTGGTTCAATGGTCTACGAGCCAGCTCGCCTTGTAACTAGAAAGTCCTGGGTTCGAACCCCGTAGTGTGGGTGCGTACTGCTGAAGAGTCCCAAACTAGGCTGTCGAAACAGCTATCCAGTACTCCCTGGTGGTTTTCCAGTAGTTCTCTAACTGATATCAGTTCATGATGAAATCCTCCATACAATGAAATCTAAACATTCAAATGCACGAGTTTTATAGTCATCCAATTTAACTATATTTTAATATATGTGTAAATATATTTTATCTCTGAATATTGATTTCACTTTTCTTTCTGTTTTTTTTGTTTGTAGTCAATCATTCACCACTATTTATATAAAGCCGTATACACGTTGGAGTACTTATGCTATAGGTCTTTTGTGTGGTTGGTTCTTGGAAAAACACCCGAATATTTTAGAGGTGAGTTTCTAACTGTAAAATGCTAACTCCGTTAATGCTATTTTGGTTTGTTAGTGAACATTCTATAGGTTTCTGAATTTAATAATTCATAATCATAATAATCTACTTTATTCCAAAACGGACAGTACTTATAATACAGGATGGAATTCTCAGCATTTCTCACAATACTGCATCTGATTTACTCGAAATATAAATAAAATTAAAACAAAAGTAACCAGAGGAATTTGTCCACGTCGACGATATAAAGTCAAAAATATTCGAAGTACGAATGGAGAATAATAAATATAGTAATAATAATAATAACAGTGAGTTTGTTTCAAACAGTATTGTCTATTCAGTTTTAAAATTTTAGCATTTTATAGAGTATTGAATCTAAAGTTCTGTTGATACAGTATGGTGAGGGGAAATACAAAATTAACAGTTATAAAACAGCTTAAATGATGCTCACACTTATGAAAAATAAGCAAAGAAAAAGTTGCGAAGATTATGAATATAAGAAGTACAATAGCAATAAAGGTTGATGCTGTAAGGGTGGAGGAGGAAATGGTTTATTTAGTAGTGCAAAGAAGGTTAGTTAGTTCATGCCTGACGCTACTGTCGTCACATGAAGTACGTGCAGCCAAATATGGTGTAGTGGAATTTCTATACTTAGACGTATGTGCATAAATTCTTCTGAAAAAACTTTTTGTTTTACTTGAGAAGACACAAGGTTGGTGCTGCGGGTGCTCCAGTGGATGATCACAGTCTGACAAAATTCCTGTACCAAATTTGTTGCCAATGACGATGTCAACGATATGGCCCAAAGGGAGACTACTCGCCCTACTGACAGTCTTCAGAGTTCTACGATGTATGACATTGTTTTTTTTAAGCAATCCAGGGAAGAATAAGCAAGGGTGAACAGTAAAGAAGAACAGGTAAAATACTCGAGTTGAGAAACTGTAAGAGGGGAGATAGGTTGGGTTATGCCTGCTGGCCTTCACTTCTTAATGTAAAATGTCAGGCGGAATATTCTTTTAGAAATCGCTAAGACATAGGAAGACCAGGATAGGTCAGAAGAAAGAATTGATCCAAGACACTTAACTTTTGACTTGATTTCTATATCAGTGTCATCAATTTTGCAAGGGTCATAGGAACCAACAGTTTCATTTAACTTTCTTTTGCATCGGAAACTGAGATTGACAGTCTGACATTTGGAAGGATTTAGTTTAAGACCATTAGACGAAAACCATTTGCAAACTCCTGATAGAAAGCTGTTTATCTTAGTACAGTCTAGCTGGGAGATAACAGACATTGAAATAGTTAGATCATCCGCATACTTAACAAAGTTCATTTCGTTATCAGAGTGAGGCAAGTCATACAAGAAGAAAGAAAACAGAAAAGGAGAAACGACAGCGCCTTGAGGGACACCAGCCTCAGTGAGCAATGAGATATAAAATTATTCTGTAATTTATTCGGTACTTTTCCTCCCCTAGCCCCCCCCCTACGATCGAAAAAATGTTGTCTTCAACAATCGCGCTGGGACAGAGAATATGAATGGTCGATTGATGTCAACAGTCTTTGAACTAAAAGCTTTAATCCCAAAGGTTTTCAGGTATTTGTCGAATAAACACATATCCAATCAGTTTAGGCCTAATTCTTAGTCCTTATGTGGCACCAAAACTGGCAAAGTCATTCAAAAACCTGCACCACTTATAGTTACCGGGTTTTTAAACGCGCATTATAAACGGAGAAGTCTGACAGATAAAAAATAATATTGGGGGCTAACGAGATATCGTTTCACTACACAGAACTACATACTACTGACTGACTGATCCAGATGAGTAGTCGTATACCACACCAACCAGTAGTGTTTGCAAGCCAGGTTGAACAGTGGATGGCGGTCCAGCTCATTAGCAGCACGCCTGGCTTAACTCAGCTTAGAGAACCGAGTCAGTTCTAACTACCAGATTGCTGACCAGCTACTTGGATGAACTGGTGATTCCATAAATTGATCCATCGATTTGCAGATTGGTTCGCAATTTACACAGCTCGAAGTGACTGTTCCACTATAGTTTCCTATGAAAACCGCGGTTCTGCCTTCAAAAGGACTCCCTGGTGTTTAGATCACTCACCTTAAGTGGTATAATAAGGTTGGATAATACTGAGGTTAGGCATCAGTCGAGTGCTAGGTAAGGAGGGGAAATCAATCGATTGAGATGGTTAGGACAAATGTTATTAGGCATGCCTAGCCTAGCCATCGCCTTCCTCGACGGGCAATGCTGAGTGATATAAGATTAGGTTGGAAAAGAGCTAGCTAGTGGTGGTCAAACCAAAACATCACCTCATCAGTCAATGAAATCCATAACAGTCACGTAGGAAGATGTAGACTGACTTCCTTGTTGGGATCCTCGGGATAGCAAGAACCAATGGGGGCTGGAGCCAATTGGTGATATGGCTCAAATTCGTTGTCAATGGCTCAGATGCATCCACTCTTTATGAGTCATAATATCCAATAAAATTCTGTCGTTCTCCCATGCTACTATTCTTTTTCACTCACTCATACTTCTGTTTACTATTTCTCTCTTTTGGATCTCTTTTTACTTTCTTCTCTTGCTTTGTATGCTAAGTGAAGTATGGCGACTCAAACTGCGGCATATCTGTGCAAAGTTCTACGCTGAAACCACTCAGTCAGTCAGATCACTTCTATGTGTCGGGTTGACGTTGCTGGTTGGTGTAATAAGTAGCATACAGTTTAATGTACCTACGCATGATTTCATGATTATCATTTGTGTTTTCAAGTATTCGTTTTGTAGGGACTTTGTTTGACTGCATGGAGGATTTCATCATGAGCGGACATCTGTTAGAGAACCACTGGAAAACCATCAGGGAGTACTGGACAGCTTTTTCGTTCCAGATTGGGTCCCAGTGGTTCAATGGTCTATGAGCTAGCTCGCCTTGTAACGAGAAGGTTTTGGGTTCGAACTCCGGTGGATGCGTACTGATGAAGAGTCCCGAACAAGGCTGACGAAACAGCTGTCCAGTACTCCCTGGTGGTTTTCCAGTGGTTCTCTAACTGATATCAGCTCATGATGAAATCCTCCATGCCATCATTCGTGTTATCAAGCAGACCACTTGATGCTGTGATATGAATAATCTCGGTTTCCAAAGGAGACGTCGGGATAATCACCACCTCGAAATGTGTAATGTGTGAAATAATTTGCACATTATGAATTTGATATTGTATTATTTTCAGTAAAGGGGTTCAAAATTTGTTTTTTGGTTTTATACAGAACAGTGACTGACTAATACTTCGTCATGCCTTGAAGAACCTTTATTTTCTCGTTTATAACTAAAGCAACTCACTTCATTCTTTCTGGTTGAGTTCAGCATTATGAGTATTCGTCCTTAATATCCGAAGCTTTACCTGAGAATTTTGTAACAAATTTACAAGTGCTGTTAATATTCACTCCTAGTGTTCCGTGTGGAACATAGTGCCACAGTGGTCTTTTTTTTACCGCATTTAGCCCTCTACCATCATTTTCAGACGACTGGACGACTGTTGAAAGCCGGACTCAACTCGCTCCTTATCTGGATTTTACTCGAGTACCTGGATGAATTTGTCGTCTTAGAGTCACCTCAGAGTGGGTCCAATCCACCTTCACATCCTCCTACATATCTGTTGGAGAGTAGTTTCTTGGTGGCTGGATGCCATAAATTTAATTCTCTATGCACTGACTAGATTATTGTTGCTAAGTATGACAGATAACTACTGTTTTATATCAACATGAAACACAGGTTATCTAAAGGTTTTATTATTGATTCTAACGTGTACTTTATTCCACATTTATTGGGATTAACTCTTCCCCCCCCATCCCACATTTCTTTTCTGATAGTCTGTATCTCGAAAGTATAAAGTTCTTCTCTTCACACTGGGTGTTTGCTTTTCATCAATATTTTGCATATCTACTGTTTATGGCCTGTATGGATTTTTAAGTGGAAAACTTCCATCAATGACAACTTCTGAAGCTGCAGCATACACAGCATTTAGTCGACCAGTGTTTATTCTCGGTGTAGCAATTGTTGTCTCGATGTGTGCACTTGGCTGCGGCGGTAAGTTAAATATATACTTTGCCTTTTTGTCAAAATTACTCACCTAATCACATCTATTTGAGTGTTGGTTTGTAGGGATTTGATTGATTGGTTACAGGATTTCATCATCAACTGACATTAGTTAGAGAACCATTGGAAAGCCAGCAGTAGAGTACTAGACAGCTGTTTCGTCTTAGTTTGGGACTATTCATCAGCACGTACTTACCAAGATTCGAACCCAGGACCTTTTGGTTACACAGCGAGCTAGCTCGTAGACCGTTAAGCCACTGGGATTCTATCCAATGACCAGTAAATGAATTCTAACTTCTTGCAATTCATGAAATAGCGCGACCCTAGTCAATGTCTTCGGCGAGTATTTATCCTCACACCCGACACCTGCTGCACCCTACTGGTCATGACTTCCCACTAGAACCCCAGGTAACTACCTACCTGTATAGGGCAAGTCGCCGGTGCGTGCTGATGAGGAGTCCCAAATTAGGCTGGCAAAACAGCCGTCCAGCACTCCCAGCTGGTTTTCCAATGGTTCTCTAACTGATGTCAGCTCATGATGAAATCCTGTAATTACCTATTTGTTGAGGATTTAAGACATTGGATTAAGGATCATGACAAATATTAGGTCAATAATATCAATACTCAGAAAATATTAGTTGTCCGGATGGTGGTGGGTTCCTTCAGAGGGATCCTACTGGTACATAATTCGTGACACAACTTGAAATTAATCAGGTCCATGCAAAATGAACCTTGAATATTATTATGTTTCTCACCAGCAACTAACTGCAGGAAGACGTTGTCTGGAGTTCCAATGAGAAGTGGTGGCCGACAGGGTTCACCAAGTCGGGTGTTGTGCCGAAGACTAGCTGATGACGTTGGCTAGAGATCAAGCTATACGTAGCATTTTCGCACACCACCGAACATTATCTAAGTGGCTGATTGGCCAATGTTTTAGCCCTAGGACGAGAGGATCCTGAGTTCAGTTCCATATGCAGTCATGCTTGCGGACTGCTGAAGAGTCCCAAACCAGGACGAAATAGATGTCCAGTAGTCTCTGGTTTCCAGGAATTTGCAAAGTGATGTTAGTTCGTCATATACCTTGCAATCAATCATATCTCTGCAAACCAATAATTCAAAACATGCTTATGAAGTAGAGACAGAGATTCTAACCTGAAACTGATACCTTGAAACTCAAATTGCTTAGAACATTGAGTTCAAGCTACTGGTATGCAGTCATGTTTTTATCAATTTGATTAATCTGTTTGATACTGCTAGTTGAAGACTAACCATTCATTTAATGTATTTTCCCTCCGATTGACACATAAATCTACAGGACCAATTCATTGGCTGCTTACATCCTCGGTATTTCGTCTTCCTGCACGTATAACATTCACTGTTTATCTTGTACATCCGATTGTTATTCAATTTATTATTTTCGGTCGTCAAAGTCCAGCTGTATTGGATAATTTATATCTGGTAAGTTTCAATGAATATTTATTTTGGTCTGATTAAAAATGCTCATTAAAATTTTTCAAAAGAATGGATACTGATATATGAATAAAACTTGTGCACTGTAGTAGCGTATAATTCCATTATGGGTAAATTTTTGTTTTGATAAAGTCTCATAGTGTTAATATCAGTAAAAAGTTTGAGCATTGTGGATTAGATTAAATAAAGTATAATTATATTTGAATAGTTTACACACAATGATAAGTTTTGTTATTGGTAATATTTCGAGCAAAATTACTGCCCGTGTTCACACCACTGTTGGAATTGTTTTATTCACACATTTATGATTTGTATTCACATATATAGTTCATTATTATTATTTTGTTCATTCATGTTTTGTGTGTGCATATGTGTGTTCAGAATTATACTCCTTCATTCATGTTTTGTGTGTGCATATGTGTGTTCAGAATTATACTCTACATTCATTCATGTGTTTGTATTTAGAATTATATTCCAAGTTGTTGATAGTTGTACTGAGTCACCCTTGTTACATGTATCCGGTGTGACTTTAATGAATATCGATTCTGTTATGAGTCTTTCTTTCCATTTGTTCATGTTTGTTTTTAGAATACATACATTGTCCCAATCGATATTGTGGTTTTTGTCCCATGCATGTGCAGCTATGGATGAATTTTTTTCAAGATTTTTGTAGGCTTGTGTCCCTGTTGGTTGACCTTTAGTTAGGCGTTTATGTTCATTCACTCTTATTTTGAGTGATCTGGACGTTTGCCCCACATATTTAGTTGGACAGTCAGCACAAGATATTTTATAAATCAAATTGTTTTTATCCATCATTTTTATGGGATCTTTTAGTTGATTTATTTTATTTTTGATTAGATTTGTCGGTTTAAAGGTTGTTCGAATACCGATATTTTTGAGGTTTCTTTGTATTGCCTCTGATGTACCATTTTTATATGGTATTACGACTGTTTTTCTCCATTCTTCCATCTTATTATTCTCCAGTTTTACCCTATTTTTTCTCTTTTTTATATTATCCTTTATAAATTCTTTAGGGTAGTTGTTTTCGAGTAACATTGTGAATAGAACTTTTATTTCTTTACGCTGGTCCTCTGGTGCTGTTGTAAGTCTACGTATTCTATCTGCAAGACCCTGTATTAATCCTCGTTTTACCGAGAGTGGATGAGCTGAGTAATAGTCAAGGAATCTTCCAGAATGTGTGGCTTTTCTATATATCGTTGTTTTTATGCTACCATCTGTCATTCTTTGTAGCTTGCAATCTAACATGGGTAGTTCTCCAATTTCATTCTCTAATTCCATAGTAAATTTTATTGAGTCGACGTGTTTGTTTATGTGTGATAAAAGTTTCTCAGCATCGTTTTTTTTCACTATTACTAGCGTGTCGTCTACATATCTCCACCAACATTTTAGTGATGATCTGAATGGTTTAAGGGCATTCTCCTCCCAATAATCCATGAAAATGTCAGCTATAATTGGTGAGATAGGCGATCCCATGGCTACTCCCTCATTTTGTTGGTATATTTTTCCTTCGAATGTGAAATATGTTGTTGTCAGACAGAATTCTATCCCTTTTATTATTTCTTCTACGGATAACTGTGTTCTGTCTTTCAGGCCATTATCTTCATTTAGTTTCTCTTTCAGTGCAATCATGGCCATTTGAATGGGTATTTTCGTGTAAAGACTGTTTACATCAAAGCTAACTAGTATTTCTTCCTCCTCTATTTTAGTGGTTTTTATTCGCCTCACTAATTCAAATGAATCTACTATTCTAGCTTTTGAGTTGTTTCTTGTCGGTCTTAGTATTGTCGAGAGAAATCTGGATAGCATATACGTTGGTGTGTTTCTGAAGTCTACAATCGGTCTTATTGGATATCCCTCTTTATGCAATTTTATCTTACCATATATCCTAGGTACATTACAGGATTTTGGCATAATTTCAAACCATTTTGACTTACCGATTACTTCTTTCATTTGTCTAACTACCTTTGCTGTTTCTTTCATTGTTTTGTTGATGATCGTTTCAGCTGATTTAGTCATTATGGTATAGGGTCCAGATTGTAGATGTTCATTCATCTTTTGATTATATGTTGTTTTGTTAAGTAATACTGTTGTGTTTCCTTTGTCTGCTTGAGTAATGACAATGGATTTGTCTGCTTTTATGTCTTGAAGTGCTTTTAGTTCCTCTTTCGTTATATTTGGTTTTTCTGCTTTTTGCTTTTTCAATGTAAGTGCACATTGTGCTCGTACCAGTTCAGCTTTTTGCTTGTCATATCCTTCGAGTGCTGTTTCAATTGCAGGTATGATGTCTTCAGGTTTTAATCTTTTGTTGCTGATATTGAAGTTCATCCCTTTCATCAATACACTTTCCTCTGCTTCTGTTAACTTTCTGTCTGACAAGTTTACAATCCAATTGGCTTTAGTTACTTGTCTGTCATTCGGAGTTTTCGCTATCATGAGTTTATTAAATTTTTTGATTTGTTTCTGCTTTGTTTTTTCATAAGTAGTTTCTTTTCGTTTTTGTGCAACTTGTAGTATGCTTTCATACTTTTCTTTTTCGATTACTTCTTTCAATTTTTCGAAAAAGAAAAGTATGAAAGCATACTACAAGTTGCACAAAAACGAAAAGAAACTACTTATGAAAAAACAAAGCAGAAACAAATCAAAAAATTTAATAAACTCATGATAGCGAAAACTCCGAATGACAGACAAGTAACTAAAGCCAATTGGATTGTAAACTTGTCAGACAGAAAGTTAACAGAAGCAGAGGAAAGTGTATTGATGAAAGGGATGAACTTCAATATCAGCAACAAAAGATTAAAACCTGAAGACATCATACCTGCAATTGAAACAGCACTCGAAGGATATGACAAGCAAAAAGCTGAACTGGTACGAGCACAATGTGCACTTACATTGAAAAAGCAAAAAGCAGAAAAACCAAATATAACGAAAGAGGAACTAAAAGCACTTCAAGACATAAAAGCAGACAAATCCATTGTCATTACTCAAGCAGACAAAGGAAACACAACAGTATTACTTAACAAAACAACATATAATCAAAAGATGAATGAACATCTACAATCTGGACCCTATACCATAATGACTAAATCAGCTGAAACGATCATCAACAAAACAATGAAAGAAACAGCAAAGGTAGTTAGACAAATGAAAGAAGTAATCGGTAAGTCAAAATGGTTTGAAATTATGCCAAAATCCTGTAATGTACCTAGGATATATGGTAAGATAAAATTGCATAAAGAGGGATATCCAATAAGACCGATTGTAGACTTCAGAAACACACCAACGTATATGCTATCCAGATTTCTCTCGACAATACTAAGACCGACAAGAAACAACTCAAAAGCTAGAATAGTAGATTCATTTGAATTAGTGAGGCGAATAAAAACCACTAAAATAGAGGAGGAAGAAATACTAGTTAGCTTTGATGTAAACAGTCTTTACACGAAAATACCCATTCAAATGGCCATGATTGCACTGAAAGAGAAACTAAATGAAGATAATGGCCTGAAAGACAGAACACAGTTATCCGTAGAAGAAATAATAAAAGGGATAGAATTCTGTCTGACAACAACATATTTCACATTCGAAGGAAAAATATACCAACAAAATGAGGGAGTAGCCATGGGATCGCCTATCTCACCAATTATAGCTGACATTTTCATGGATTATTGGGAGGAGAATGCCCTTAAACCATTCAGATCATCACTAAAATGTTGGTGGAGATATGTAGACGACACGCTAGTAATAGTGAAAAAAAACGATGCTGAGAAACTTTTATCACACATAAACAAACACGTCGACTCAATAAAATTTACTATGGAATTAGAGAATGAAATTGGAGAACTACCCATGTTAGATTGCAAGCTACAAAGAATGACAGATGGTAGCATAAAAACAACGATATATAGAAAAGCCACACATTCTGGAAGATTCCTTGACTATTACTCAGCTCATCCACTCTCGGTAAAACGAGGATTAATACAGGGTCTTGCAGATAGAATACGTAGACTTACAACAGCACCAGAGGACCAGCGTAAAGAAATAAAAGTTCTATTCACAATGTTACTCGAAAACAACTACCCTAAAGAATTTATAAAGGATAATATAAAAAAGAGAAAAAATAGGGTAAAACTGGAGAATAATAAGATGGAAGAATGGAGAAAAACAGTCGTAATACCATATAAAAATGGTACATCAGAGGCAATACAAAGAAACCTCAAAAATATCGGTATTCGAACAACCTTTAAACCGACAAATCTAATCAAAAATAAAATAAATCAACTAAAAGATCCCATAAAAATGATGGATAAAAACAATTTGATTTATAAAATATCTTGTGCTGACTGTCCAACTAAATATGTGGGGCAAACGTCCAGATCACTCAAAATAAGAGTGAATGAACATAAACGCCTAACTAAAGGTCAACCAACAGGGACACAAGCCTACAAAAATCTTGAAAAAAATTCATCCATAGCTGCACATGCATGGGACAAAAACCACAATATCGATTGGGACAATGTATGTATTCTAAAAACAAACATGAACAAATGGAAAGAAAGACTCATAACAGAATCGATATTCATTAAAGTCACACCGGATACATGTAACAAGGGTGACTCAGTACAACTATCAACAACTTGGAATATAATTCTAAATACAAACACATGAATGAATGTAGAGTATAATTCTGAACACACATATGCACACACAAACATGAATGAATATAATTCTAAATACAAACACATGAATGAATGTGGAGTATAATTCTGAACACACATATGCACACACAAAACATGAATGAACAAAATAATAATAATGAACTATATATGTGAATACAAATCATAAATGTGTGAATAAAACAATTCCAACAGTGGTGTGAACACGGGCAGTAATTTTGCTCGAAATATTACCAATAACAAAACTTATCATTGTGTGTAAACTATTCAAATATAATTATACTTTATTTAATC